TCTGGAGGAACTGAACTGATAAACACACACACAAAATGATTACATATACATATAAAATATATCCTTATAATATATATATGTATAATACACACATATACATATATATATACATACACACACATATGTAATTGTTATATGTAATTGTGTGGAGTTCGAGAACACTGAAAATCCAGCCAGACTCTACCCAGATTTTAATCAGCCCTTGATCAGATTGGGACTGTGGCCCTGGCTAGAGCCAAGTGTGGGCAGAAGCGGGTGTTAAAGGCAAAAGTCACAATTCATTGCTGGGGATGTGAACTTTTGCAGATGCAATTCCTGTGGACAAGCACCCTGGGTCTTTTGCATTCCTGGAATTCCTAGAATGTTCTGACTCAAATTGCTGACAGGCCGATCACAGACCTCTAGAATGGTTAGTTGCTTTAGTAAAAAATGGAGTCACTTTAGTTGCTACAATATATATTATATTAAAAGAGGATTTATTAAGCCGGGCGGTGGTGGCGCACGCCTTTAATCCCAGCACTCGGGAGGCAGAGGCAGGCGGATCTCTGTGAGTTCGAGGCCGGGCTGGACGGACAACCTCCAAAACAGTACAGAGAAACCCTGTCTTGTAAAAACCAAAAAAAAAAAAAAAAAAAAAAAAGGATTTATTAGAGTAGCTTATAGGTGTGGTCCAGCTAATCCAATAATGACTGTCTACCAACAGGAAAGTCCAAGAAACCAGTTGTTCAGTCCACAGAATCAATGTCTCAACTGGTCTTCAGTATATGTTAGAATCCCAAAGAAGGGAATGGAGAGATAGTTCAGTGATTAAGAGCACTGACTGTTCTTCCAGAGGTCCTGAGTTCAATTCCCAGCAACCACACGGTGGCTGAGAACCACTTTGAGATCTGGTGCCCTCTGCTGGCACGCAGGCAGAAGACTGTATACATAATAAATAAATAAAACATTAAAAAAAAAATCCCAAAGAAGTAAACTCTAATACCAGCAAAAGAATGCTTCAGCAGCAGGATAGATGAACTTAAGAGCGAGAGTGACGGCAAGTGCCTCACAGGCATGCCCAGCTGCTTAGGTTAGGGTTGATTGCAGATGTGGTCAAGTTGACAACCAAGATTAGCCATCATACCTACCCTGCAGGGGTGTGGCAGGCATTGGTTGGAGGAAGAACTCAAAACAAAACCGTGCCACACAGTATAATGCTGATAAAGAAAATAAAACCATTTGACAAAGAGGCTGTAAGAACCTTCCTCTTCATTTTGCTGTAAACCAAAAAAAAAAAAAAAAAAAAGCAGCAATGAGAAAACATCTGCCTTGCTCACATAAGACCCTGGCTTTGGTTCCCAGCACCACAGGAAATTAAAACATATCTGAGATGAAGGTGAAGAACCAGCCTGCCTCCCTCCATTTTAGGCTTAAAGGCCATCTTGCAGTAAAGAGAAACTAGGCTCATTCCTGTTTATGATTAAATGTTTGGGGTTTTTTGTTTGTTTTGTTTTGTTTGTTTGTTGGTTTTTGTTTTTTTGAGACAGGGTTTCTCTGTATTGTTTCTCTGTGGCTTTGGAGGCTGTCCTGGAACTAGCTTTTGTAGACCAGGCTGGTCTTGAACTCACAGAGATCCACCTGCCTCTGCCTCCCGAGTGCTGGGATTAAAGGCGTGCACAGAGCATAATAGTCTGAGTCAATCTCAGTGAAGTTGGGAGCAGCTTGAGGATCGCCCCTTTGGTCTGAGCTGAGGTAGAGTAAGAGCTAGTGGCTGACTGCTTTGCTTTTCTGATCTTCAGCTAGAAACTTGAACCCCAATATCAGTCTCTATGTCTTTTATTTCTCGTGCTATGGAGACAATCAACAAACAATTCAGCCCCAAAGAGCTTTTTACACATAAAGTTACAAATGGTCAGACATTATCAGGAGTCCATTTCTAGGGATGCATTCATAAGTCCAGCTGTGCTGTGCTAGTGCATGTCCTTAATCTCTGCACTCAGGAGGCAGAGGCAGACAGATCTCTGTGAGTTCGAGACCAGCCTGATCTACAGGGTGAGTTCCAGGACATCTGGGACTATACAGAGAAACCCTGTCTCAAAAAGCCAAATAAATAAAACAGCTGAGACCAACCAAGAAGTGGATCTAATGTCCAGGCCAATTTCTTGGACCTATTTGGTCCTACAGGATAATATCTAATTTCAAAGCAACCTGTAAGAGAAGTAGGTAGAAGAAACCTTTGCCCGGCATTTTCCTTCCTGAGCCTTTGCTGTGTTCCAGGATGGACAGAAGGACAGTCCTTACACACTGCTACCCTCTGGCTTTTGGGCTCTTGCCCAAGCACTTTGCATGAGGCCTCCTGGAGATCAAGGCACACATGGAGGAGGTACCCAGGGACATTGAAGGAAGGGGAAGTTGAGAAGGAGTTTTTGAGTCAGAGCACACTATGGCTGCTGGTTAGCATGCCTTCCAGCTGCTCAATGTGGTAACATAGGGACAGGACTCAGGCTGGGTGAAGAGCCATCTCACATGCCCACTGAGACTTGCCGTTTACACATGGAAGGGGTATGCTATCCATTATAAAAGACTGACTTCAGTATTGAGTAACAGATTTGTTAATTTACTTAATTTGTAATGCCAGGAATTTGACAGTTAGACGAGGACGTTATCAACATTTTCCACAGATGGGTTCAGATCTGTAATAAAAGGTTTATACCATGCTGTATCTGAGCTTCCAGATTGGATCACAGGAGGCGGGGGAAGATATGTTCAGAAAGCGTGGCTAAAAAGGGCCAAAGTTAATTCTTTTTTTGTTTTTGTTTTCCCATGATGGGGTTTCTCTCTGTAGCTCTGGTTGTCCTGGAACTTACTATATGGACCAGGTCGGGCTCCTCCTGAGTGCTGGGATTAAAGGTGTGTGCCACCACCAGGCCAAAGTCATGCCTAATTTGAAAAGCAGTAATGCAACACAAGCCACTTTTTAATTTCTTGTGGTGTGGCTTAGGCAGTATACAAGCCACTGGCAGTGGGACCAAGACCTAACTATACTGCATAAACTGACTTTGTGGAGCCCATTCTCCACATGCCCAGCCCAGACATGGGGGAGGGGCGCCTTGGTCCTGCCCCATGAGGTGATGGGACAGACTTAGTTAGGGTCCTAGGGGAGGTCTTACTTTCTCTGAGGAGCACTTGGGAGGTGGGATGGGGAAGGAGGGGAGAGTGGGAGGAGGGGAGGGAGGGGGAACTGGGAATAAAATGTAAAAAAGAAAAAGAAAATTTAAAAAGTAATAGTTATTATAAAAAAAAACGAAGAAAAGAAACCCTGGAAATGTCTTCGCAGCTGAGACTCCTCTCAACACATCTCGCCCCGCCCCCTGCCCTGAACCTCTCCTTCCAAAGCTGGTTTCTGCCCTCATCCCCACCCCCCAGTTTCTCTTCCGTATATAACTCAGCCATTTTGACTACATGCCCTCTCTGGTTCTCTTGGCTCCTGGATCGCTCTTGGTCTGCTTGCCCCCATCTCCTCTTGCCATCCCCCACCCCCAGCGGCGGTCTCCGTCAGTATGCTGGCCGTGTTCAGTGCGGACTCTACCAGAAGTCTGTGACTGCCCCCCCCTACAATAAACCTTCTCCTCAACCATGTCTTGTAGTGGTCATGTCCTCGTTATTCATCCAATTTAAAATTCCGTGTACTTATTTCTGTACACGCCTGTGTATGTGCGCACGCGTGCATGTGGTCTGAGGACAATTTTCGGAAGTGGATTCTCTCCTTCCACCTTGTAGGTTCCAAGGATCCAACTCGGTTTGGAAACACCTTTGCCTGCCTCATGCTTCGTTTATAAAAGAAGCGTTCAGAACAGCTTCGGGCGTTTCTCTGAAGCCCTACGCGCTTTTTTAAAAACCTTTTTTTTTTTTTCCATTTACATATCAGCCCCAGTTCCCTCTCCCTCCCCTTCTCCTGCCCCCCATCCCCCACCTCCCAACCTTGGGGAGTCAACAAAGTCTGATACCAAGTTGAGGCAGGACCAAGCCCCTCCCCCCTGCATCAAGGCTGAGCAAGGTATCCTGCCATAGAGAATGGACTCCAAAAAGTCAGTTCTTGCACCCGGGATAAGTCTGGGTCCCACTGCCAGCCCCTCCCCTCAACAGATCAGGCCATCTAACTGTCACCAGAGGGTCTAGGTCTGTCCAATGAAGGTTCCCCGGCTGTCAGCCCAGAGCCTACACGCTACCTTGAAATGAAAAAGCGGCCCCATGATGACCCGGGCAACCCTTGGTCCGTGAGGCAGACCCTAGCTAGCTAAAAAGATTCACTCCCATCTTTAGGTTAACTTAGGAAAAGTCTCCACGATGTGTTTACACGAACTCCCAGACTCTAAGAAGTGGCACTCCATAATTTTATTTAAACTCTTGGACACTCCGGAAATGCCTTCCTAACATTTGCATTTTCATAACAGGAGTGGCCTAGCTGTCAGCGCCCAAGGTTAAAAGGGTCACTCCTCGCTATAGAAATTCTAATCAGAGTCGCAGCTAGGGCTCCTAACAAGCTTTGAGTTTAAACAGTTTTACGAACCCCAGTGACTGTCCAGGTGTTTGGCTTGCAGCTCCCGCCCACTTCACACCTGGGCACACCTGGGCTTTATGTGCCCTGGGGAATGAGTTCCGGAGGGTGTTGCAGGCGGGTTTACAGAGGCCGCCCATCACCGGCCACCTCGGGCTGGAAGTGCTCACCTTGCACTTCCCGCAGCTGCCGGGCCTGGACAGTCTGAGACGTGGGCCTGGCGGGGCGCGTGGCTAGGCGGGGCGAGCACGCGGGGGTTGGAGGGGAACGAAGTGGGGACGGGGCGAACAGAGCGGGGTGGGACGAAGAACGGGGGGGCGGGAGCTGTTGTGGGAAGGCGGGACTAGTAATGGTGAGAGGAGGGGCCTTGAATGGGGAGGCGGGGCAAGGCCTTGTAATGGGAGGCGGGGTTCGGGGCGGGGACAATGGGGAGGAGCTAATGGGGAGGGGCGGGGCGGGGGGGCACGAGGCGCGCCTAGTTGGGCTGCAGCTCCCTGCCGGCCTTCCTGCTGCACGGCGCGCGGGCGGAGGCCCGGCTTGGCGGGAACGCGAGAAGAGCGTGCGGAGCCTCCGGTGCTGGCGGCCGCAACGAGTGGGATCCTGGGTCCGGCCGCAGCACGCGGAACTGATCTGAAAGTGGCGGGGCCCGGCGGAGCCGCGATGAAGCCGAGCAGCGAGGAGGAGGAGGAGGCGGTGTGGGGCGTGGGCCCCTGGGACGAGTGCTTCGAAGTGGCGGTGCAGTTGGCGCTGCGAGCGGGACAGGTGAGCAGGGTCGCCGCGTCCAGCCCCGAGGCACGCCCGAAATGGACAGCGTGGGCGTCCTGCGGGCGCGTGGGCGGGAGCAGGGCAAGTTGCAAGGACAGGGCCTGTGTTGTTTCTGGGGCGCACCTTTCTCTGGCCCTTCACCCCCCTGCAGCGGGAGATGGGGAGCATGGGGTCACTATCATGGAGAGAAGAAGGGCGCAGCCTTCGGGACGCACCCCTCACTTGGTGGTGGATTGACCAACTGCTGGGTACTTGACCTTGGTGTTTGAGTCACCTGGAAAGCCAACGTGTCCCTCCCAGACTAGAACACCGCAGTTGTTTCTTTTTAAGGACCAATCCTGCAACCAGGTTGTCGGTGTTCCCTGTTGCAACTCCAGGCGCGTGTAACTCTGGCTGGGTTGCAGCTGATTGTCCTTCTCCGGGCATCCTGAGTCCAGACAGCCTAGGCTCACAGTCTGAGAGCGCCTCCAGGGAGTGATTGGCACAGACCCGAGTTCAGGAGGAACTCGTTAGACTGCCGGAAGGATGGAAACCAGCGCAGAGCTGAAGAGAACCAGACTAGGTTTGAAAACTGTGTCGCCTCTGTTTTTCTTTTTCATCGTTGCGCTCGCTCCCTAACTGTTCCTCAGTCTCTTCCGCGGCGCCGAACTTATAATACTGGTGGAATGAATATGCAGTGGCTCCCCCAGAACATCAGAGCACGCCTTGTTCCGTACTTTGCTCCTTAAAACGTGATGTGCAGTACTGACTTGATGGTCAGGCAGGATTTACAGTAGTGCTTTGCACAGAAAGGCTTATATCAAAAAACATTTTTTCAGGTGTATCTGAAAATACTCTAAGGGGGTGTCTTATTAAAAAGTGCTGCAATGGTGCAGGGTATGGAGCCCAGTGGTATATTGCATGCACAAAGCCATCCCAACATAGCAACAACCAGCAGAACAAATACTTCAAAACTACCCTGTGATTGTGCAGTAAAAGAGACTCCAGCCCTTCCCAGACAACTGATAGAGCTTGTAGCTCAGAGCAAACCCTCTTCCTAGAAAACAGCTCCCCTATGAGCTCGAACTGACAGCCCTCTCCCTCCTCTCCTCGATTCTGTTCCAACAAGAGCGTCTTTCCAGAGACAGGATGTCAGCGTATGTGGGAACTTACACTATGCATCGGTTTTTTCCTGGTGACTCTGAGAAACTTTAGGACTTGGGCACTGCTGTGTAAAAGCTGGTGAGTGGAGTCATAGGCTCTGTGGCCTTTAAAGAAATAGAGACTTAAGTGACTTTTGGTAATCGACGATGCTCATCTGAAGTTTTCAGCACTGAAGGCACAGTTCTTAAGGGTTTTGTAAGTTTTAACGTAATGAGATTGGTGTTTCTGGAATTTCTCAACAACAAAAAAGCTTTAAAAAGAGGCAATGAAATAAAATTGTGACAGTAAGATCTGGTCAGTGAGCTCAGGACTCTGGGCTCCAGCTTGGGAATTATATGCCTGCCTGCCTGCCTGCCTGCCTGCCTGCCATCGAGTGAGGGAGAGGCTGAGCGGAAGCAGAAGGCATGCCGGGTCATGGTAACTATCCTGAGAAAAGAGGGAAAGATCCTCTAAATGAGTATCTATAGTAATCAGGTACTGACCAGAGAAAACACCCAAGCAAGGCAGCCCAGTGAGGGAGGAAAGACAGTACCTGGCATCTTTGAATCCTCCTTAGCCACAGGCTCCACCCATGCCAATGCTAGTTTATCATGGGCTACTCTGCGTTTCCAGCTGAGGGTCTGGGTGCTGTGCGCTAAAAGGTCAGGGCCGCAAAGCGAGGGAGCTCCCAAGATAGATGCCCAGTGTCCCCAGATTACACTATCTGCTCCCAAGTTCCCTTTGCTCCTGCTCAGAGGCGCCCCCTTGCCTTGCTGTCTCCCTATTCTCCCCCTTACCTCCTTTGTGCTTCGCCCATTTATCCTTAGCCTGTTGGAGTCCTTCCTGCCCTGCAGAAGTCCCAGTCACTCACATGCTAAAAGTGCCTGTATGTGTGTGTACTCAAGTGTGTGTACTCAAGTGTGTGTACACACACGCACTTGCTCACCTGAGTGGCATGTGTGTTTTGCAAGGAACCCAGCCAGGGCCCATAGCGCATGCTCTGCCACTAAGCTGTACCCCCCACCCCTTGTAGTATTTTCTCTCTCTTTCCTTCTGTTCTTTCCTTCCTTCCGTCCTGACAAGGCTCTCCATATTTAGTCCAGGTTAGCCTCCTGATCCCCTTAGCTCTGCCTCCCAAGTACTGGGTATTATAGTGCACTATAATACCAGATCATTGTAGTGTTTCCTGTGAGGGAATAGAAAGGGAAACAGCTTTTCCTATTGCAAAGTTGAATTTATTATCGATAGCTTAGAAAAATTATGATAGTACAACTTAAAATCTTAGAGTTGTCATCAACTGAGAACTTTACATTTTCTTTAGTGCTGCCGTATTTTATGTATTACTCGTACTGTGGAAAAGAGTGCTGAACAGGCCTGACCCAGCTGCAAGCGTTAACAGCCTCACCTATCCTGCAGTCAGCACCTCTCTGAGGCCAGCTGCCCCAGACAGGTGTACTCCTCTCTCTATACCGTGTGCTGTTGACAGCGGCCAGGCCAACTGCTGTGGTGGACAGGGAGAGCATTCTGAAAGTCTTCTCTCTACTGGCTGGCTGACAGTAACTTACAGACAGATAATGCCTGCCCATCACACGATAGGTCTCATCAAACCTATGTCTGCTTCGTCCTTCTTACCTAAACTGACCACACTCTCCTTGGTACCAGCTGATGCCAGGTCTGACGGAGAGTAGGGAATGGGTCAAAGGGACAGGTTCCATCCAGTCAAATGGCTGACTTCTGTCCACTTGCAAAAGGTGATCTGGGGAGTTGAGACAGTATTTCATTATTGTTTTTAAAATGTCTTTTACAGCCGGGCGGTGGTGGCGCATGCCTTTAATCCCAGCACTCGGGAGGCAGAGGCAGGAGGATCTCTGTGAGTTCGAGACCAGCCTGGTCTACAAGAGCTAGTTCCAGGACAGCCTCCAAAGCCACAGAGAAACCCTGTCTCAAAAAAAAAAACCAAAAAAAAAAAAGTCTTTTACATCGGGCATTGGTGACGCACTTCCTTTAATCCCAGCACTCAGGAGGCAGAGGTAGAGGCAGGCATATCTCTGTGAGTTCGAGGCCACCCTGGTCTACAGAGTGAGTTCCAGGACAACAGGGCTGCACAGAGAAACCCTGTCTCAAAAACAAAAAAGTCTTTTACATGTTTATTTACTTCTTTGATACTGTTTGTTTTAAAACTGTGGCACTAAAACACTGACGTTCAGTCACCTGACAGCATGTTGAGCAAGTCGGGACCTTCAGCCTTTGTCCTGTATGGGATGTGAGGTATTGTGTAGAGGCTGTGTGGTGTGAGGTGTTGTGTAGAGTCTGTGTGGTGTGAGGTGTTGTGTAGAGTCTGTGTGGTGTGAGGTGTTGTGCAGAGTCCTGTGTGGTCTGAGGTGTTGTGTAGAGTCTGTGTGGTGTGAGGTATTGTGCAGAGTCCTGTGTGGTCTGAGGTATTGTGCAGAGTCCTGTGTGGTCTGAGGTGTTGTGGAGAGTCCTGTGTGGTCTGAGGTGTTCTGCAGAGTCCTGTGTGGTGTGAGGTATTGTGTAGAGTCTGTGTGGTGTGAGGTATTGTGTAGAGTCCTGTGTGGTGTGAGGTATTGTGCAGAGTCCTGTGTGGTGTGAGGTATTGTGTAGAGTCTGTATGGTGTGAGGTATTGTGTAGAGTCTGTGTGGTGTGAGGTATTGTGTAGAGTCTGTGTGGTGTGAGGTATTGTGTAGAGTCTGTGTGGTGTGAGGTATTGTGGAGAGTCCTGTGTGGTGTGAGGTGTTGTGCAGAGTCCTGTGTGGTGTGAGGTATTGTGGAGAGTCCTGTGTGAGCCTCACTTGGCTGCTTCGTGGGTCCCACATGAAGATGACTGAGCTGTGGAAAGAAGTGATGAAAAATGATTGAGTTTTGAATACTGAGGTGAAACTTGGGGAAAGAGGTGCTAGGATGAAGTCAGGGATTTGGGCCTGAAAATCAGGTTGCACGATGGGTTTGTAATGTCCTGAGACAGTGAGCTGCAGTGGAGGAGGGGTGGGGTTCCGAGCTTGTGGCACATGGGCAGCCAGGGGGTTTCTCAGCAGAGACTGACTGGATCTGGATTGTGGGAGAGGTAGGAGATGTAAATGTGGGGAGGTTGGCGAGCTGGCTGCCCACAAGACGCCATCACCCCCAGGCTGGGCTCCTGGGTGTCCTCTTTGGGAGAGTCCCAAATGCCCCTGTATGGAGTCTTCCCTCTGGCGGCTTCTTTCTCCTGCCTGGGCTGAGACATCGGCCATTGAAGGAAGTGAGGAGAAAGAGAGTGGTGACTTTACATTTCCACAGTCTCCTTGTTTGCTTCAGTCCCTGCCCCGCCTGCCCCCAGCCCCAACCCTCATTTTCCCAGGAGAGAAAGCCCTGAAACTCCTGCCCGCCAGCCGCCCTAGTACTGGGGTTGACACCCAGAGTTTCCAGTAAGTGTTCCACCACAGAGCCACACACCGCTTTCCGTAAGGGCAGAGACCCCGTGAGGCAACACACGTACTCAGGAGCTGTGCTGACGAAAGGGGTGTGTTTCTTTTCTTAGGTTTGTTTAATAATTTATTTAATTTTATTTTATGTGCATTGGCGTGCAGGTGTCATATCTTGGAGTTACAGACAATTGTAAGCTACATGTAAGTGCTAGGAATTGAATCCAGATACTCTGGGAGAGCAACCAGTGCTCTTAACTGCTGAGCCACCTCTCCAGCCCCTGGTTTGGTGGCACGGGTTTCCTATGTAGTCCAGGCTGGTCTTTACCTTGGTTCCTCCTCCTTTGGCCTCCCTAGTGCTGAGCTTTGAGGTGTACACCCCCAAACACAAATGTCAGCGTCTGACTGTTATTTCTCGTCATCTTCCTCCTTGTTTTCCTTGTTTCGTTTCCTTT